ATATATATATATATATATATATATGAAATACTAAAATGAACTAGTACTTACTATTTGTATTACTATTCCTACTTAGCAGTTTTTCACTTATTGCGGGGCTTCAGAGTACGGATCCCCCGCGATAAACAAGGGACTACTGTATTGTTTTCCTTAAGGTTCTGCAAACTTTAAAAGTAGCCTTTAAATGTTTCAAAAAGCGATTAAAATAAACTTTATGCATTATCTTTACATGTTTATACATTCTCTCATTAGAAAATCTTTCAGAATAGTAAACGGTCGGTTTGAATCATGAAGGCTTCAGCTGTGGACTTACGAGACTGGTTGTCCGGATCGGGTTCAGGTAGGTGGTGTTGTCAGCGTCCTCCAGGTCGGACAGAGCCTCGCTGAGCTCATCGTAAGCCCCTTGTCTGCTGTTGTTGTAACGCTCCACGTTCAGCAGGTGAGCGATCGTGTGAACAGCTGTCAGAACAAGCAGTTAGGCGAGTTACTGCTGCTGCACCTTAAGTTTATCGCCACAAGTTTTACTCTCTCAAATAAACATTTCACACAGTTTATCTAATCGGAGCACATCATCATGACGAGCCCAGACGTGTTTCCGTGTCAACATTTGATGCAATGTCCTGATAATTTGCATTTAATGGTAAGATTCAGGTAAGACGTGTTTGCGTGACATGGAAAGTATGCATCGGAGAGCTTCCATTTTTCCAAATTTCGTGTGAAACGTTTTGACGCTGCTCGTGCAGCTCAGCTCCAACAAACGACAGCACCAATGAGTCTGAATCGCCCCCTGCACTGATCTGTGATGCTAATCTACACACGCACTGACGATTTGAGGGAAATAATTTGCAGTATGCATAGATTAACTTTTTGGCATTCAAAACGTAGTTGAGCCAAAATAAAAACTTGAAGCGTGACGCAAAATCCGATGTGATAACATCACTGCAAAAAGTCTTTATACTGTAAACTCTGAGGATTTAAGTTTAAAATTTAGCGATTTAAAATCCATACTTGCTTTTAAAGTTTAATCACTACTTCTTCTTTTGTTCTGGAGTTTTTGTGTTAAGATTCGAGGTTCTTTATTGTCATTCACATCACATGTGGTACATGAGGTGGAACGATATTGTGTACTCAAGGTCCCAGTTACACCCAAAAATAGCAAAATATAAAAGGTATAAAGAAGAAGCAGTACATAATGATCTAAGATACAGTTTACGCTAAGATATACGCTAATTGAATTCTAAACGATACACTCAAATAGGCCTGTCACGACAACACATTTTGCTGGGCGGTTGTCTCAGAAATTATTGCGATAAACAATAATATTGTTGAAATTTGACAATAATTAGCAAATATTGTCAAATTTAAGAAGAAAAGTTGGTTACCGGTAATTTTATTTTGCATGTAGTACCTTTTTCGACCACTGGATGGCAGTATAACACTGTTTGAACAAAGGATGGATATCTTCAAAGGATACAAAGGATGGATAGTGAGGGAGCGAGAAGCGTGTCTCTTTAAGAAAAATGGGAGGGAGGCCCCTTGAAGTGACATGGGCTGTCTCTCAATTTTTTTCCGGGTCTCAAAATGACAAAAGCTCAGTGTGGTTTGAGCTCTTTCGCATAGCATTTTTCACACAAATCTTTTAATAAAAATAATAATAAAAATTTAAAAAAATCAGTAAACAAGTCCTCAGCTTTTTTTTTTTTGCAAAGAAAAACAACTTTTTACACGAAGGCATGGGTTTCAACTGTGAATTTTGGAGCTTCGACAAGACGGAGGTTTATTTCCCCGAGGTCGGCCTGTTAGCTTAGCTCGTAGCTTAGCTTCTCAGCTTTGCTGCTTTTAATAATCCAAAAACATGATTTTGGACAGTTAAAACAAATTTTAAGAAAAAGAGAAAGGGAGGGGGTCAGTGAAGAGCACCGGAATTGAGCCTTTTGCCATCCAGTGTCTTCAGTAGAAAGAGCGAGACACGAAGAAACGATAAAACCGATAAATGAAAACGAGGTCGATAATTTTCATTTATCATGCGATTAATTGATTTATTGTTTATCGCGACAGGCCTACGCTCAAAGATCTAAGATATATGCTAAACACTAATACTGTAAAATAATACGGTATATTAACAGTTAAAGGTCAAGAAGTGTTTTTTGCTGAATATTATGACAGACGAACGGGTTCAAATTTCTTCATGTGATCTCCTTGACCATTTGTTAAACAACATAAAAAAAATAAATAAAAAAAAACACGTTTCCCAAGTCTGTAAGTTTGCAGATAGTTTGTTGTTGGTGCATTGTTTTTTTTTACCATTAGTGCTTAGCATGTTCTTAGTTTAGCATATTAGTTCATATCTTAGATCTTAGTGCTGTTTTCATTTTTTACAATTTATACTTTTGTTGGATGTAACTGGGACCCTGTGTACACAATGTTGTTCCACCACATGTACCACGTGGTGAGAACGACAAAGAAACCTTGACCTCGTCTTCAACGACGTTTTGCGTTAAATATTTCATAAAACTGCTCCTAGTGTTTGCTTTTAAATAACATTCTCCATTTTAATCATGTAGCTGTGTTTGAATTTGCAATTTTATCTTGGTTTTGTTATTGTAGTTTGCTCCTCTTGACCGTTTGAAATATATATATTTTTAATTGAACTTAAACTCTGCAAAGTTAACAGTTTCATCATCACCACAGCACGAATTGGCTCATAACAGAATGAAACAACAGCTTAGACTCAAACATGCTCACCTGTCATCAGGGCGATCATGTACGCCACCAGCTTGTGGAACGCCAAATTCTTGTCCATTTGTTTCCTCATTGTTCTGCTGCAACACTGTGAAGATAAAGAATGGAAGAAAGAGAGATGGAAGATCTGTCAAGATGTCTTTTTTCTTTGTCCAAGGCAGAAAGTCTCTAAACTTTTGTCTATAGTCCTTTTGATAGGGGTGGTGTACAGTTTAACATCCAGCATGTATTTTTAACCCTCCTGCTGCCATTGGGTCAAAATGATTCACAAGGTCTCAATGTTGACTTGTCCTGCTGAGACAGATGGACGTCTTCTTCGTACCATGAGAGAGCCTCGGATCAGAGACAGCAGGTTTCTGCACACGGGCAGGAGGATCAACATGCAGTTAAAGTTCAGCACGGCTGCAGGAGCCCTGGCCCAGGACAGCGCAGACTGAAAATACACAAGTATAAAATCAGGTACTGTAACCTAAACACATCTGAGGGTTATTATACTGCCTTTAAGCTGACAATACAATTTATAGTCTATAAAAATCAGCATCTGAGTCCTGCCTTATTTTTACAATAAGAAAACAGAAATATGAGCTTGTTCATTTGTCCACTTCATATATCTGGCCCACGGTTGCTCAAACTGATCACATACAACAGTATAACCAGGCTGTATTATCATATATGAACGATAACTTATCAGGAAAGATCTTTTTTCTGCAGAAGTGTGGTAAAAAAGCAGGACTTTAGCGTGCAGTAGAGTATTTTTGCCTCCACAGTGCCTCTCTCTACTCACCCCCAGCAGATGACGAGTGTAGAAGAACTCGGGCCTCTGGTCGTAGTAAAAGTAATACCAGACAAAAAGAAAGATGTTGATGGCCATCCAGACAAACTGGAAACAAAAGCGTCGATCAGAAAGTGACAAGAAAATCCAGATTTACATTTTTTTACCCCACGCCCGCACAAGAAAATTAATTTTGTAAGCTGTGGAAAAGGAAAACTCACGATGATGACACCGGAAAAGCCGTTGTTGATAATCTTGTTCGTCATGGTGAAAGTCTTCTCCTGGCATCCTGCAGTCCCGCAGCCTCGGGTGGTTTTATACCTTCAGACTCCTCCCTCCTCCAACAGCTGGATGAGACATGAGCAAACAAATCCTGCAGAAGGTTAAAAAAAAGTCACGCAGTGCAGGAAGTTCGCAGGAGGCTGGAATGACTGCATTCCTGTTGTCTGGAACCTGAAGTTAGACAAACCTGAAGTTAGACAAACCTGAAGTTAGAC